AACTGACCCACCGGCGCTCTTATCGATAAGAGCATCGACAGAAATTTTGGAGGCGGGCTTGCCCACCCATCATCGCACTACGCTTTTGCACCTGTAACCAGCATTTACTTGTAATAAATATACCCCAGGGGCCCAATCATCTCCGAAAATGGGACGCGAAATCCAGAAGAAGAAGCGCCGCTCGAAGAGCCAGCCCATCCGGCAATCAAACCGCCTCAAGAAGCCTCTCAACCCGCTCGGCAACAGCACCATCGCAGCCAACTGGTTCGTTTTGCCCAACCCTCCCCGGCATGGATCGAGGAAGCAACCTTGCACGATAGGAGAAAAACCGAAACGCTGACTCTTTAAAAAAACAGGGACAAGAAGCAGACTCTGGCGCAAAACTACAAACGTCTCGGGCTCACGGCGCGGTTAAAGGGCCCCACGGGCGGTACCGAGAAGACGCTGGGCGTCAAGGAGGCCTTCGGTCCCTCTGACCCCCTCTCCATCAACGGCTCCGGGTCTGCGGGCAAGGCGCTGGACGTGGCGAGGGTAGAGAGGGACGCCGACGGCAAGATTGTCCGCGTGATCGGCCGGGCGCCCAACCCGCTCGACGACCCGCTCAACGCGCTCGACTCGGACTCGGAGATGGATGATGGGGAGGAGGAGGAGGAGCACGAGGAATGGGGCGGTATCCAGGAGAATGGGAAGGAGACCGAAGTGGTCAAGTCGCTGATCCAGGAGGCCCGCAATCCCGCGCCCAAGAAGAAGAGACACCAGAGCGAGCAGGAAAGGGAGTGGCTGGAGACGCTGATCGGCAAGTATGGGGATGATACGAGGGCCATGGCGAAGGACCGGAAACTGAACCCCATGCAGCAGACGGAGGCGGACATTAGGAGGAGAATCACGAAGATGAATGCTTAGAGAGTGTTTTGGCATTAGAAAAAGCAGGCCGCTTCATATATTCAAAACTCGGCTGGGCGTTTGGGAGTTCGCTTCTAGGGATCAAACAATGCTTTGAAGATTCAATGCAATATATATATATCTATTCATTTTTCTTTTCAGGCGATGCAGGCAGTGGGGAAAGAGCAAAACTGTTTCTTGGATATCATATCGTTCATTTTACAGGCATGTCATGATACTATACGTATTCCCTGGCTAAGCACTCGGCCCTGCCACCACCGAAACTCGTCCATATATAAAATGACTCCCTGAACGCCCTTCCAATCCAAAACAATGGGCGTGAAAACACAACGCGGCTTTACCATACAGTGTCCCCAATATCCGGCCTCACCCTTCGACCAAAGAATTTACACAAAAAGGGGCGAGGGACGATCTTCTTCTCCTTACCGCTCAACTCGGTCGTAGTTTCCTGCAGGGAATTGTGCGGGTTCGTCGTAGGCGGCAGGCCGAGAACCATAGGGCTGCGGCGCAGGGGCCCCAGTTACGGGGCCAGAGTTGTAGTCTGAGTTGTTGTACTCGGTGTTGGAATCAAACATGCCCGCCGTGTTCCTGGGAGGCACGGAGCCGTAGTGGTTGGAGTCGTCGAAGTCGTCAGCGCTGTATGGGTTGCTCGCGTAGTGGTTGTTGACGTTGGTGTTGCTGCTGATGGTGCTGTTGTTGTAATCCCCGTATCCGCCAGCGTTGGCCTCGTGGTCGTCCATGTTCACCCTCTCGTAGTCGTCGTCGTGAGGAGCCATGGAGAAGGCGGCCTTGTCCGGGTCGATGCTCTCGCCGCCGCCGAGCTTGCGGTTGTCGTAGCCCGGCAGGGATCCGTGAAACTTGAAGTAGTTCCAGGTAAAGCCACTGACAATGGTCGTGGCGATCCAAAAGACGCTGTTCGTGTTTCAAGGTCAGCGACATGGGGTTGTTTGGAAACGGGGGATGAAGGGGGGGAAGTTTATGCATACGTTTCGACGACACCAAGACCCACGATGGCGGCACTCAGGTTGCAAGCCTTGCCGCACAGTTCTTTTGAGTTATACGACGCTTGGGTGGAGAAGGCAGACAGCCAGATGATCACAAAGGCAACGTCGAGGGCGAGCATGGCGTTGGCGTTGGCCAGGTGTCGGGTGCGATCGAATCGGGGGGTCATAATAAGGTAAACCCATGCTGGGATAGACATGAAGCACTGCAAACCGAGTTAATGGAACGTACTTGGACGAAAGTTGCGGCGGAACCGTTACTTACCACACCGAAGGTCCAGCCATTGAGGCCTACGATTTGAGCATCTTCCCCTCTGAATACTGCGATCTCAAGACACCAGATCACAAAGGAGATGACGAGCTGGGCGACGTGAAGGCCCAGTTTGACGGGCGGCACATAGGATGGCTCCCACTCCCAGGTCTGCATGTTGACGTGTTGATTTCTAGAGCCCTATATCTTCGGTCTGTCTGGCGGATGAAACGAAGGTTGCGTGCGAAGAGAGGGTAACTGGCGATGATATAGGAGGTTGTTGACGGGCGAAACGGAAAACCCAAACAAATATTAAGGCCTGGCCAGGATAAGCTGATTGGGTCAGATGGGGGCGGGATATGACGCAGCAGGTAGTGTCGAGGAGCCTGGTTGGTTTCGTGAAAAGCAGCAACGCCGTAGCAACAAAGACGCCAAGACCTTGGACAGGGGTTCGACAGCTGGGTGGGTGTGGAGTTGGGGACTATGCGAGAGAGCTGAGCGGGGAGAAGCTGACGGCGAGGTCAGCAGGGTATTTCTGCAATGGATTGGACAAGCCAGATGAATATTGTAAAGAATGTGGTAGTGTTCAGTTGCTGAAGGCGATCAAGATAGGGGGGACAAAAATGATGAACACACTACCTAGGAGGAGAAAACAGCCATCTATCAATTGAGTTGGTGCCTGGCCCAGCCAATTCGCTCCGGACGCCGCGCGTTGACACCGGGCAACATGGTGGCGTCAAAGCACACAAAGAGCTGTCGCAGCCGCAAAGCCACGGTGGGGCAGTCTCTGTTGCTCCGCCACGGGAGAGCCTGTGAAGTGGGCCTAAAATAGCAGCGTCTAATTCTCCGTCGGGACCAACCATAGGTGAATACTCGAATGTCGCAGTGTGAACTGGTGCAGTGCTGGGTACCCGCCTATCAGGGCCGCTCACTGAAGTCCTCCTGCCGCTCCGTGGACGAGGCATTGGCGTGTCCATGTGTGACGAATCTGCCTGGGCCGTTGCGGACAGCGCACTCGTCATCACCAAGCTAGGGGCTCGAGGCCGACTAGCCAGGTCAACGGCTATCCGTCTTTAGTAGCCAGATAATATCCATGGAATTGGGCTATATCCCAGACTGCTCTGACCTGTAACGGAATGCCAGTGGCCATTTCGGCCTGGTCCCGAAATTGAGTCAGCATGTCAAAGACTTATACTCAAAACATTCTGTTCTCCGATTGATTGGAAAAAGAGGGGATTCTGGAGATCCGGCATCTTGTCCTGTCTTGTGTCCTGCCTTGTCGGGCGAAGTGAGCATGCGTGTACACATAGCCCCGTCGGTGCTGCTATTTGTTTTCTTTCTGTCAAGACAGCCTTATCGCCAATCTCATGATCAGATTTGCCCGCTAAATGCTCACCTATCCATCTATGCTGGAACTACCTAATGAGTAATGCTGCACTTACCTAGTGCAAAAACATCAAGCTATTGGGGCTAGCTCTAGGGTTAAGAGCCATTGCCCGACAGAACTATTCTCCCCAGCCTCTATTCCCAAGAATGTGATGAGCCCTTTTAACTTTACTCTACGTCACTAGGCCTACGTGGTGGCGGTCTATGATCATCAGGGTTTGACTTGACAGCGCGGCACCTACGGAGGATTTCGCCTTGCCTAGACGGCACGGGCCTTTCTAAAAAACTACTGCCTACCTAAGTAGGTAGTACAAGTTCCCTCTTCAGAGCTAAATTACAGACTGCCTACCGGAAGGCAGACAGATCCAGTGCATCACGACAACTTGGCTCTGCCTACCAAGAAAAATGGAGAGTAGCTCATTTACAGCCTCGGAATTATCAACTGCAGCCCGTAGGATAAGATACATTTTGCCCTAAAAATAAATCCAAGATACCTACTCTTGAAAGGCGAAAATCCGCAGTCCTCCAAACTCAATTCAGCCAGCCGATGGGTGCTAGACCAGCAGAGCTCAGAGCTCTCTTCCACGCAGGTCTAGCGGTTGATCAAGGTAGTCAAATCAGCTATGGCCAGCGAATCTCGCTTGTTTCATGGCCGTTGATTTTATTGTCGCTGCCTTCTTGCTGCAAGACTCTTTGCTACCTACGGAATCACACACGAGGACTGAAACTTAGCAATAGAGATCTGTCGCTACTCATCATAATAAGCTTTGTAGTTGACCTATGCAAGAATTGCCAAAGGGAAGCCGTCTCATTTGATAAGAATGACACAGAGCTTAGCTGGCCACTCTTCAAGTATAGAACAACATGGGGATGCAAACTTTGCGGGCGGCAACAACGGTGAGCTGGGGTTACACAGACCTGACGAATTCTGGTCGAAGATGAAACAGCAAATCTTCCTTGCTCTTCAATTGTTTCTCCATCCATAATCAGTGGAGGCGTCATAAGAATTCGAAGTAGACGGAAACAAGACTGTATGTAATTTTGTCCTCTATGCAAGTATGGGTAAATACAAAGTATAACAATCTGATGGCTAGATCAAGCGAAATGTGCGTCGAGCAAGATGTTAATGATAAATTATAGCTAGCGGAAAGGAAGAAACAGCACCGGAAGAGGGGCTGGATGCATTTTGCAGCAGAATGGGCATCATGAGGTGTGCTGTTGAGACATGGCAAAAGTCCCCTGCTCAAAACAAGTTCGCCTTCAGGCGGGGCTGCGACTCAAGCAATATCCTTTTCCTGGGTGAAACAGTAACCCCATCCCTCCTTGATGGTTCACCTGGACGAGGGCATTAATCTTACTACAAGGCTTAAGAAGCACCTATATGATGATAATTTGGGCCAATTGCTGCGTCAAGCACGAGGCTCGTCGCAGCTTGGTGGGTGTTGGCACATTGGCTGCTCTCAGCGTCTCTCCAATGTAGAGTGAAGGGTGTGGTGCTTGAGAAAGAGAATCGAAACCAGCGCCCCAGTAGCCAGGACAAGGAAAGTGATCCAAACCCCCTGGAAAGCCTGCATGAAGCACGCTATAACACCGTCGTGCCACCCTTCGGGGAGATCCTTGAGGCTGTTCAAGTTATTTCGGATCCGGTTGATCTTCTCAGCCGCATCTGGCTCCTGCCCGAATGTCGCCCAGAGACTCGACTTAAGAATGCTCTGATACACCGACGAGGCTAGGGTGACACCGATCGTACTTCCCAAGCTCCTTGCCAAATCTAAAGATGAGTTAGCAAATCTTCCCCTGTTCTTTACTGGAAAACTGGAAACAAGGAAAATATAACTTACAAGTAGCGGAGGTGACAACGGCCTGCTGAGAATGGTCCACCGATGCAATGCACGCCAGTAAAGTGCATGTGAGCATTGCAGCATATCCTGACCCGACCAGGAAGAAAGCAATGCCGGTAAGCCAAGCCGGGGTAGTTGCCCCTTGAAAACAAAAGAAGATTATCCCAGAAAGGAAGATGCAAAGACTGGTGGTGCCTAGCTTGGTGTATCGGCCTGTTTTGTTCATAATGTAACCTGACAAGATGGAGCCGACCGATACGCCAATAGGGGAAGGGAGGATTTTGAGGCCCGCCTCGGTGGCCGTGTCTCCACGAACTTGGAGATATAGAGGAACGTAGAACAGACCAGCGATTATCACCATGGTGGAGAGAAGGTTGCACACACAGGCGGCGAGAATAGTCTGGGTACGGAGAAGCTTCACGGGAATGATTGGTTGCTTCACCCTGCTCTCCCACCAAAGAAATCCGGCAAAGGCGGCGATCGAGAGCGGAATAGCCGTCAGTGGAATAGGGTGATTCCATGGCACCAGGTTCCCTCCCGTGTTGAGGCCCAGCAGAAGCAAGACAAGGAACGAGAGCGTCAGGAACACGCCGAAGAAGTCGATGCGCGCGAGGTACGACTTGTCGGACTGCTTCGGAGGCACTCTTACCAGGAAAATAACGGCAACAGCGGATACCAAGGAAAAGGGGACCTGGACCAAGAAGGCAAGCCTCCAACCCAGCTTTGTGTGGTCGTTTAGAAGACCACCGAAGATGCCGCCCAGCATGGCGCCGGAGCCATAGCAGACGTTGCCTATACCCTGGACAACACCACGCTTACGCAGAGGAATGAGATCAGATGCTAGAAACGTGGAAATGCTCATAAGACCGCCTCCGCCTATTCCGGCAATGACACGGCCCAGAATCATCACATAATTGTCCTTGGCGAGACCGCAGATCAGATTTCCGGCGGCGAAGAAGACGTTGCTGAACACGAGGCCGGGCCCGCGGCCAAATATGTCCGTCAGACGACCCGAGATTGGCTGGCAAGCAGCATTGGATATGAGATATGCCGTTGCGAGCCACGAAAACAGGCTGAGCGACTGGAATTCACTCGAGATTGGCCCGGATAGCGTCGCAATGATGGTAGAGTCCGCCGCACCAAGGAATACCCCAAGGTAAGCGGTCCCCATTATCAGAACGAGCCTGGAGAAGGATAGATCCTTCGACAGGACTGTCCTTTCCTCCTCCTGGGAATCATTGCTGCCCGGTGTCTCTTCCCCGGCTGGCCTCAGGAGAGGGGTTCGTTCAGTCTCCGGTTGATGCCCATTTTCCGCGTCTTCCGCCCGAAGGGGTCGACTTCCATTCAATTCGGCCGTCATTCCTGAAATATTCCTGAGCTTGCCTTCCGGTTACAACAGAGATCATCAAATACAAGTCATCTACGACGTATATAATTTCAAGGCTGTCAGATTCGCGCCGATTGCTTAGTCATAGACCGATGTTGTCATCGTGGGGAAAAGCACGCGTCGCCGGTTCCGGAGCATACCATCTTACCCTAGACCTTCTCTCATCAACTGCCCTTGGGTCAATCTAGTTGTTCCTCTCAATGGTCTGTTTACTCGTTAATATGTGTCTTGCTGGAAACTATGGTCCTCGTGTATATTAAGTGTGCTCATATTTCCGTGCTTATTGATTCATGGCATAAATTGAGGCGTGAGGTATTGAAAAGCATACATCATGTGAAGCTAAGAGAGAAGGCATATTTCGCTATCTTTCGGAGCAAACGGCTGGATGGCGTATGAACCATTGAAGTTGGATCATATAGGTACCAGCAAGGCATTTTTAGGAGCAGGCGACGGAAGTACAATATCGGTTCATCAACAGATTTAAGCACAAGAACCTCCGAAAGGGACGAGTAACACCCGATTTACTTGTTTAGATCATCAAACTGGGTACAAATAGGCCTTCATTGAGAAGGAGGACGCTTGAATAAGTACTATAGTACACAAAGAAGGTAGATTACCCGGGCCGCGAGAAAATTGAGTACTGATCAAGTATATTGCAAGTGCTTAATCTTTAACGAGCCAAGCCCAAGCAGGAGTGACACTATGGCGCGGAGACTTACGAGGGAGACTGACAACGGTCTACTTCGAGAAAAAAAAAACCCTGGGTGATTATTAATGATTCATGGAAGTGTTGTAACTGAACCAATGAAGTAACCGCGGCGGATTTCCCTGTCGCAGTGTATCTATTCCTATCCCTGAACCCATGCTGGTTGGGTGGTGTGGCGGTTGGAGGCCTATTCAACCGATAAAAACAAATTTGATCCTTTGCATCAGCAAGCCTATAAGCGTTACAAACAAGAAACGTGGGAGCCCTTGGGCGAGCAAAAGTACGCTTATCTTGATTGTCATTCCACACGATGTTCTCTCACCTGTGGTGGGAGGGAGTGTAACTTGATCGCCGTTGATCATGCTACCATGTTACCAGCGCTAGGACGAATCCGCAGAACGAGACCAAGAGTGAATAGTGAAGTTCAAGTACTGGAGAAGACCCGCGGTTTCTCTAGACGGGAGACGTAACGAGCTGAGACCATCCCATCTTCGGAATACATGCTGGTGTTGTCCAGCAGCTCACTACCGCTTCGGGTGTGTGGGTGAGTTCGCAAAAAAAACGCTCTGCCAATACAGTCAATAGCGCAAAGTTTGGACGATCATTGTAGCTCTATGTACATTTAGCTAACACATACGGGACAACAGAGGCGGCAGACTGCTTGTCTGGGACGCGCTAGGCCGTCCCGTTGACCCAGCTGCAATCCTGGATAGACCCCCCCTCCATGATCAAGAGCATACCAACATCGCCCGCAAGCCTTGGTTGAGTAGGCTGTGATCGGATAAGACAAGGCCGACGTCCTCATTCTTTGTTGATCATGGCCATTTTTCTTAGTGATCGCCAACTCAGGGACTACGTTGTGCTTCTTGGGTTCTTTCAATCCCGAGGATGAAAAAAATTGTCAGGAAATACTGCATCTACTATTGAGGATCCTTGAGCCACTAGCCCTCTAATGGGATCTACTGCTGATCTATCAAAGTAAATGTGATATCAGATGGGTAATTATTGGAAACCAGTGGCTTGAATAAAGCGGAAGGTAGTCCCGATTGGCACAGCCTCGATCAATTGAGGTGTTAAGCCGAAGTGATACTGGTCGAGGACGAAGCTATCCGCACTAATCTAAGCTCGGTGGCGGTTAGACTAAAAGGCCAGGCCATGCCAACTGAGGAGTCGACCTGTCCCTGGTGTGGTGACTGGTAAGAGACAATCGTATAGTGAGAGGATCTGGGGGCGTGTGAAGGGTGCTTCAACCCATGTGCATCGATCGGGAAGCCCGGTATGACAGCAGGCTTTCAGTCGGCCATGGTCGTATTCGCTGATCGAGAACGAGATATCAGAGCTACTGAAGAGCCACCGAGCTTCCGAAGCTGCTACATGGCCAGGACGGCGTGAATTGCTTTCACCAATCGCAAAGTACCTATTTGCAGGATCGGCTAGAGGGTTTGTTTGGAAACCCGGTGATATGGCACAAAGCTCATCGAGGCGAGCAAGCTCTGATGTTAGTGTCGGGGATCATATGCAAAGAATCGCCACAAACGGACTTATTTGTACGAGGATCTGGGCAGAAATCGGAACCACAAGATTGAAATGGCCTACATGTGTCTTCATCGCTACTTCTGGTAGCCCGACTCTCATGTTGTCGTGATCCAGTGGAAGCCGAAAAGCTGCGGCGATCACGAGCCTCGATAAATCTTGTCCATCGAGTATGCGCGATGCGCGTGGTATGGAGACCTGGAGTATCCTTATCCGCGGAGGTACCTTCTCTAACTCGCTGGATTGCGCCCCCAACTTAGGAAAAGGAAGAATGTGTGGAGCAGGCAGATCATCCTGACGTCGAGGAGGCTGTGATGAAGGGAGTCAATACAACGGCTGGCCTGCCGTTATTGCCTTTCCCAGCTTTGTCCACAGGTGAGCTACCAGCGCCCCCACCCTTCTCAGTTCAAGCAGGGCGTAGAAGCTGAGACAGAAAGGCTGACGCAGTGACACATCAACGGCTTCTCTTGGATGAGTATTGTGTATGTGGATCAGTGCGGTGTTCCTGGATATGACCTTGCGCCACCACTGTGTGCCTCGTGAATCTTGTCGTCCCCATCGCTGCTCCCCTTTGTTTTTTTTGGTGCTTGTTCCATTCCACGATGGATTCACCCATGAGGTTCAGGCTCGTGATCCTTGCAACGGCGACGATCGCAAAATAGCATCAGCTAGAGTTATTAAGAGAGTTATTTGAAAGTTAATTAGCCTGGAGGAGCCTGGGGACTGGGATGGAGAGTCTCGATCTGCGTCTGGGGAGCTTGCTGAGCTACTCGGCAACAAAGATGCCGAGTTCACAGCTCATTCGTAGCGGCTGACGTACGAGAGACGGACGCACGTGTGGCATTGTCTTCCAGCGACTTGCCCACGCTGTTGGCTAGCATGATGTCGCCGCTGGCGTTGCCGGGATTGGCAGGATGGGCTGGCCAGGGTGAGCACAGGTAAAAGCATATGGAACGTCGATGGAACGCAGATGGAAGACTAGCAATTTGTTCTTGCAGCTTCAAGGCACCGAGGGGGTGTGCAAGATCCGTCCAGGCTGTGTGCTCTGCCCACATAGTTGGGATGTGCCGGTGCCAAGCAGCGGCCGAGGCATCACGCACCCAATACGCACGCCAAGCCGGGGTAGTGAAAAAGGTGCGTGCCGCAAATACAAGCAAGCAAGCAGGCTAGCAGGCGAGCAGACGAGCAAAGCTGGTGAAGCTGGAGCTGGATGGCGGCTGTTGGAAGAGAAGGCAGGGACGTTGCCGGACAGCCGTCCACGTGGGGGAATTGAGGGATCTTATAGGCGGTCCATGCTTCATCGACATCGTACGCCAAATCGCACTAAAGACTGGAGTCCGCTGGGTCCCCGCTAGCGCCCCCTTCTGGAGCAGGCCCTAGCAGAGGCTCCGCAGCGGCATCCAGCAGCGAGCGAATACAAACTTTGCAGGCTTCCTAAAGTGGCAACAATCTCACACCCCTCCCTTCCCTCTTGGGCTCCGGGCTCTGTCGCCAGAATCTGGAGGCCTCAAGGGCTGCCTCACAGCTGGGTCCGGAGAGCTCGCTGTATGGCCTCGAGTTGGGCGTGCTCGAGTTGCTGGGCCACAAAAAGAAGATCATGGGAAGGACGGAGCGCAAGGGTGAGACCTGGAGGGACCCTCCTGGAGACCAATCCCAACGGGAGGACTCGTACAAGAAATTAACTCTAAAACAAAACCTTCATTTTCTAGCTGCTGATGTGCAGGAGCTTAGGAAGGTGGGACCTGACGGCGAGCTGCCAAAGCTCTTGACGGTGCATGCCAGCCGCACTCGCTAAGGACCGCCCGCGTCGAGCGTCGGGCGAGTGGCAGCCGGAATCAAGGACCATCTTTGCCCACGAAGCGTCACATCACCGCGCAGAATCTGTCCGAGATCGATCAATTGCGCCAGTGAGCGCCGCTACCGGCAAATGTGCCCATTGTAGGCCAATAATTACCTAGAAAACGCCTGATGTACGGGTGTCTCTGGTTTCGCATCGCCCCCGCCTCGCGGGTCAGAGGCCCAGGAAGGCAAGGTGTAGGGCAACGATCGGGCATGCCAGAGCCCTGGTTCAGCCTGCATCGTACCTCTGGGAGCCTCGACTTGGCCTTTGGACCTGGAGTGTCTCTACTAATGGTTGGATAGTGCAGCCAGAGACGGAGCTGCTCCCAGTAGCTTGCTGCTGGCGCGGCTAGTCGCTTTTGACTTAGACGTAGCCACTCCGCTGTGGTTGACGGACACGGATCGCAACTGAGACCATGTCTTCCTGGTTGGATGCTATGCTGGCTTGTATCCGAGACGTTTAGGTCTAGTACCTACTGACGCGAGTGTCTACACCCGCCCTCACCCTCCCCGCCGATGGAGGAGGGGTGTATGGATACAATGCATGTCTGTGGCCTGGACCCTTGCATGTCCGTTGGGAGACCCAGCAGGCCAGACAGACAGCGACAGCCTACAGGAGGCCTCGACTGTGGGTAGGAAGATCGCTCCCATCAGCAAAGTTAGTTTGTTGCAGACAGGCAGCTTAAGCTGATAACTCTCGATTTAAGGTTGTTGTATATATAGTGGACACGAACCCCGAACCGTCTTTCTGTCCTTCCTTCCTTTCTTCTTCAGGCCCTTCTCCCCCTTCCCTAGTCGGCACACAAGACAGCAGGCTTGTCGGGATCCAAAGTCTCATACTTTCTTTTTTCCCTCCTCCCTCCCTATAATAATACACCCGTGTAACCAGGAACCG